GGGAAGGTTTCGCCGTATGCTTTGAAGAAATTCAAGCCAGAGAGAGAACTGACATAAGCAACGTGCTGATCTACCGCCACCGCCGCAGACGTGCCCTCGGGAGAAATCCCCCCAGTTCCGCTCCCACAGCACCCCCAGATTCAAAGCAAAGTTGAGTTTAAAACGGCTCCGGATTACCTCCAGCCAAAACTCCCCCAGTAAACCACGCCAAGCAAACCACGGGCATTCTTCCAGAAGGGAATTGCACCTGTTTAATGAGTATTTTTATTAAACTGGTGCAATTTGTTCAAGCTGAAAGAGAACTACTGATGAAGAACTAACATGAGCAGCGAGGGAAGAGGAACAGAGAAAAATCCCCGCAGAGTAACCTCAAGAAATAGAAGTTCCGCAAAAGTGGCCAAAGCGCAGATGTCTACGGCATGTGACAAGGATTTTTCCATCGTCTGCTCCTTCCCTGAACTGAATGGTCATGAAAATAAAGCAAAAAAAGGAAAGGAGCAAGGACACCAAAGAGGGAGCGGCTGGGTGCCCGGGATGTCCTCCTGTGGAGGGAACTGGAAGCCAGGAGAGGCTGGGAATGGGAAAGCCACAAAACGCTGGAGAGCTGCAGTAATGCATTGGCAAGAATTGTTTCGATAGAAGTTCCCACCAGAAGTTTTCCAGCGTGAGAGAACCACGGCACGGCGAAGGACACGGTGGGGGAGATCCAACCACGCTGCTTCTGGGAGTTGGGGCCACCATCGCCGAACAGCCTCCTCCCAGTCAACACTGCTGGCTTTAGTTTTCGAAAGAATCCTTTTACAAAGGAAAAAAAAAAAAAAAAAAGGATTTATCTCCTCCATGGCTTCTCACCATGCTCAAGAGCTTTCTCCAACCAGGGTTAAGGAACCTCCATCCACTGCTCCCCTCTCAGGCATATGGCGAACGTCTCCACTGGCCCCTGATCCCCATCTTCTCCCTGCTGCCACCAATTATCACCCAATGACTTTATCGTGGCTGTGACAGTCGGTGACACTATCTCAGGGAGTTTTATCAGCTTCTGTGCTACAGGTTTCCAAACACCTGCTCGTGTGAAGGCGCCGTGCTGCTCGCCAGCCCAAGCCGGACGCTGCGGCGCGGGAAGCAGCAGCCGCGGTCCTTTGAGCAAGACAAAGCATCACAGACGGGCGTCTCATCCCTTCCTTTGCAACCCAGGGCATCCGACTCTGAGCAAAGCTCTCTGCAGGGCAGGACCAGAGCCGGCGCCGGCCGGGAGGAGCAGCACCGCAGGTCCCAGCGCGGGCACTGGGGCTGGCGAGGGCAGAGTGGCAGAACTCCAGGAGGGAGCTGGCACAAAGGGAGAACGTGGGAAAGGAAAGGAGGAAACCAAAACATGCAGCTCAGCTGCAGAGGTTTAAAAAAAATACCTGCAAACCCACTTTCTGCAGGGGTAAGAGAGATGTCGAGGTTGTGCCCCTCGCAGCCTCACCCAGCCCCCAGCGGTGCTCGGGCAGAGGAAGGCGCGGGAAGCCAAGCTCTGCGCTCCAGCGCTGCAGGATTCACACCGTCTCCCTGAGGACGCCCCGGGCACAGCATCATTTCCTATCGCCCCACATCACCCGGATCTCAGAGCAGCAGTCGCAGCAACAGAACCCCACGGGGCTTGGGGGCTTTGTGTGGGAACGTCGGTTCCACCTGCGAGGCTGGGAGAGAGGCACGGAAAGGTTTGATCCTCGCCTTTGATCACTGATCCAGGCAGTTACCTGGAAGTACGTACTGCTTAAGATATCTTTAAAATTATATTAGTTCATATTACAGCAAAATAGCAGACCATAAATCTAAAGGTAAGTTTTGCGTGGGTGTAAATTCCACCAGACGTCGTATCAGCAGCTTCCTCCTGCTAGCACGATTCCTCAGATTATCTTGAGAAAAACTATTAAACTGCAAAAGACTGGAAGTTGGAGATTTTCATTCACATAATCTGCAGCATCAGCCTCATATTGCAACAACTGAAGAGGGATCTGTAGGAGAGTACCAGGGCTCAGGAGGGGAAATGAAGGTGTTTAAGTGCAGGTTGGGGAAGATGCTATTTTAAGACATTCAATGTCAGCATGACCTCCGAGGGCTGTGAAGCAGACTCCCCAAAGGAAGCAGCAAACCTGTGATTTAACAGATAAAGGGATTTCAGAACCACCCCCGGCTGTTCTCAGGAACGAGCCAGCTAGAGCAAACCCTGGCCCTCGGACAAAAACACCTTGGCAGCTGGGTGCTTAAATTTTGGGAAGAGGTGCAAGGACAGACCTTCTCCTGCGTGGTTAACGGAGAGGAAGGAAGAGACCGTGCTCTGCTTCATCAGCCTCAGCTTCTCTTGGCTCGGTTGGATCAGCTCTACCAACCAGACCTGGGAGCCACCTTCCCCTGCAGTACAAAGACTGTAAACTTAGAAATGAAGAGACTTCAACCCCCCAAAAAGTGTAACTCTGAAGTGCTCAACAGCCTTTAATTCATTATGAACCTAGAGGCAGAGAAAAAAAATACGCAAAAAATACATCACAGCCTTAATCTGGGGGCAGGGGGGAAGAAAAAAAAATTATTATTTTTATAGCACATCATCAGACACTTACAAATGTACTTCACTGGAGGAAGGGGAGGGTGGGAATGTACATTTCCTATTTCCTTTTCAATAGCCTGATGCCATCAACACGGTCACTAGAGAAAATCTGCACAAGTCATTCCTAAACCAAAGAGAGGGATTGAAAAAGAAACAAAAAAAGGGAGAACCCCTGCCACGAGGAAGGGCATTCTGCAGTTCCAGGTTCACGTTTCACCATAACTCAGCATCTGAATAGGGGGTGAGGAAACACACTTTTTTTTTTTTACAATATAAATGTAATTTTTACAATATAAATGTTATTTTTAAAAGGTACGACACGTGAATCCAGCAACGGTGCTATTCCAGTGACATGCAGAGGAAATTCCCCATTGCTCCCAACCACTCATCCCATCCCACCCTTCCCCTCCCACCTCCAAAAAAAAAAAAATCCTCTGCTGTTTAATTTCTCTTTCAATTGTTTTAAATATTTCTCTCGCAGCCTGGCAACGTTCTTATTCTTTTATACAAGTTTTCTACTAAATCACGTCTTAACCGCCGGGAGACGCCTAGGCAGGAGTAACAACCGAGGCTTTTGAAGAACCTTGCCAATTTTTAAAACTTTTATTAGTCTCAGTTTGGTTTTATTCTTGGAGACACGTATTGAAAATGTCAAAAACTCAGAAATAAAAAACACCCTGTTTCAAACGCCTTACAAACGCGCACACGTGCGCAGACACGTGCACGCAAAGCAAATAACCCGTAGCAGAGGCAGTCAGAAATAGAGAGAGCTCCGATTCTCTCCAGGGAGAAAAAAAACCAAAATTAAAAGAAAGTTTTATTCTATCTCCACTCTTTCACTAGGACAGTTTAATACCCATCAAGTCTCTTAAGATGCTCATCTACCATCTGCTAGCCCACAAATCCTTCCCACTTCTTCCCTTGAAGATCCAGCTTAAAAACCTCTTCGCAGAACAACGAGCACCTTGCACAGGAGCTTAAAAAAAAATAAAATCGAATATTGTCTCTTTCTGTCCGTTAATTTCAGGGAATGAAGTGGAAAAGATTCTCGTGCAGCGTTCTGGATGGCTCCGCTGTCTCACGGCGGCTTCTGCCGGACCAAGGCATGGAGCGAGTGGCAGGATGCGCCCGTCATCCCCAGACACCGCGGAAGCCACGTCCCCTTCCCAGCTCTGGGTTCAAGGTGCCTTTTTCTTTCCCTCTGAATTCACAAAGGTCCTCCAAGGAGAGGGGACGACCTTCCAGTGATTTCAGCGGGGTCTGGGCTCAGGCGCTGCGTGACAGCTCTGTGCCCGGCGGTGGTTTCCAAGTGTTCGCAGGGGAGTTTCCCCGCTCAGTACTGCAGGATTTGGTTTTGCCTTTAGCGCTCGTTCCGTTCTCAGCGAACTGAGTCCAACCAAATGAAGGGCTTGCGTTCGTCTTCCCCAGGAGGATCTCAAAGGCTCAGTCTTGACTTAAGTAAAGGATGTCACAACAATCAAAGGCGTTTGGGGAATTTCTTCTTTAATAGGATAAAAGAAAAACATACAAACACCTCCCCGGCTTCTGGCATGGAATGATACTCACAACTGTAAGGAGCATAAGTAAAAAAAAAAAAAAAAAAAAAAAAAAAAAAAGAGACGACAAAAAGAAAGAGGTTCCTATGGGAGAGATGTCTACCAAAGAGCTAGAGCAACCCCGCGATGCTCCGGCCCGCAGTGGGGAAGGGGGATGGCTCGTAAGGAACTAACACAAGCAGCAGGAACAGAACCCAGTGGCACATGGTAACCGAAAGCCATGCTGATTTTTTAACTAGAAAGCAACGGTGATGGCAAAGATGGGGAAGGAAGATGACAAGGATGACCCAAACCCAGCCATTTCTTCCCCAAGTCCCTTCCCGGCGACACGGCAGGAACCCACACATCTATTGCGTGTCTTTAAGAGAACTAATGGTAAGAAACATCCCAGCTATGAAACATTCTTTCCCCATCTTCCCCAGCTTACAAAGAAGATAGTGTTTCTTTACAAAAAAAAAAAAAAGAACCCAGAACATTCCAGGACATCTGCTCTTGCTCTCCTCTCCCCACTGTAGCATTAATCACATTTCATCTGGGAGCAAAGGGGGGGAGGATTTTTGTTTCTTTTCTGTTTTAAAGCCATAATCTAGAAAAATGCTTTGTGGAAATTTTTGTTTTCCTATTTTTTTGTTTGCTTTGTTTTTTTAATAATGCTCATTTATAGAAAACTTCACAAAGGTGACGTCTATGTACAGAAAACACAATTCCAAAGGCTGCTTCAGTAGTCAATGTAATAGCACCTTAAAAAGACAAAAGAGTTTGACATAGTTTAAAAAGTCCTTTTTAATTTTAACCCTTTCCAAGCCTCAAAAACAAAACAAAAAAAAAAGGAACCAGTCACAAAACTCTTATTTGTACAAACTCTTCCAAAAGTTCTCACGGGAAATGCTGTCTGAAGGTGTTCCAAGCTCCCTACTCTACTGGTCAGCAATGTCTGGCAAAGTAGAGGTAGCGTGCAGCCAGACAGGATTTTTCTTGCAGTCCAGACCAAGAGTAGACGAAAGAAATTCACAGCAGGCTATTGCACAAGGTTGGTCTTCTAGTCCACAGCTTCCTGGTTATTTTTCCGTAGGCTTGAAAAGGGTTAATTGAATATTTTTTTTTAATTAATCCTAGTTAAAACATGTTGCTCTGAGTCCCTGCCTGGTACTGTGTCTGCAACAGGCTCTGCATAAAGACAAAGTATTCTGGGTTCTGTCCGTATTCTTCAGGATTTCTTGAATTCCCCAGCCGGGGGCGTTTGGCTGCTCTCGCTTCATCTCCCGAAAATACATCTTCCTGAGGAGCCCCAGTGCTGCGGGACTGCAGGAGACAGGAAAGTACAATGGTTAGAGGCACAGCAGGGAAGCAGGGAGGGACGCGGGCGTTAGGCGGGCGTGCACGGCGGCAGGGATGGCAAGGGAATGGTTTGGTTAGAAAAAGCCAACTCCAAAACATGCACAGCTGAAATTTAAAATTCTGGGCTTCTGAAAGCAAACTGGAAAGAGAAACCCTCCAGTTGCCTTCTTTGTGTTTCAGAATATCTTTCACTTCAGCTCCTGCCTTGCCCATTGTGTTTACTCCTATCCTCCTCTCTGGGTTCTCCATTCCCAGTACAAGGCTCAGAGGAAACTGGGGCTTCCCTAATGCCTGCAAAAGACAAGACCCAACGAAAGCTTTTGGGGATCACTGTACAAGCAATTGCTTCTGTTCATCCTGCTCTTACACTCTCAAATGAGACGGGTTTCTCGGTAGGAATTTTCCTCTCCTCGTCCTGCTCTTACACTCTCACATGCGATGGGTTTCTCGGTAGGAATTTTCCTCTCCTCTGTTCTGCTGCTCCCCGTCCGAGCCCTGGGAGCATCGCCTCCGCAGAGCACAGCCCAACGCTTCTGGCAGCAGAAGGCACACGAGCAAAGCCTCCGCTTTCGGCCGCCCTTGAAACTTTCTATTCACTTTCCAGCTTGCATTCCTTTCTCTGGAACTGCTATAAAGCCTGATGTCTCCACTGTTTCTTTCCAAATTTCAGGGCTCCAATATGTTGTCTTTATTATTAGACAAGCTTAAAGAAACTGGACTATTGTGCACATCCTAGACATGAATTCTAGGGCGTTTCTTTGCCAAGTATAACAAGATAAATCATTATTAACCTCTAAAACTCAAGCCATGAGGTCTTACTGAGATTAAACAACCTCAAACAAGATGGAGAAGCCATCCAGAGATATGTTTCAGACAGCATTTGACAAGTGTTTCTTGGGTAAAACCCTTGAAGATTGCATACATAAGCAAGCAAAAGTTTCCTCCAAATTGTCACCAGTTCTTCCACAGAACTGCAGGCAGTGAAGAAAACCGTCTGTTCTCCATCTGCATAGAAACCAGTCTCATTATGTGTTTAAATGAGATGGCTTTAAAGGTTAAAGCACCAGGTTTGAAAACACCCAGCAGGTCTGGAACCAAAAAAGCTACAAAATAAATCTCTCCTATTTTCTAGGCTCAATAATCCCACTGCATGCAGTTAGAGACAGGCTGATCTCCGAGAATAAGAGCTTTACAGGTAAGAGCCAAGTTCTCAATCTCCTCTTTGCTGAGAAATGGGGGTTTGGTCCCACATCGCTCATCAGAAACCACTCAGCTGTAGACCAACCCAGCTCCCTTGTGATGAAGGCAGTATTCAGACAGAACAGCAGTGCGTACAGCTCAGTTCATCTGGTGTAAAATGATAGGAGCATCAGCTTTTAACCAGAGAAAGCAAAAATCAGATCTGAACATGCGAAGGGGAAAATCATCTAGATACTTCTCAAGCATTTCCATCACGGATTTCTTCTACTCTGTGTATTTTGTGAATGACAAGTGGTTTTACAGCCACAGAAAGGGGAACCTGCATTCACCTGATGTCTAAACAACACGCTAAGAGAACGTGAACGAGCACGGCAAACCACAGCGGCGCTGGGGCTCCGATACCCACCAGGCGAGACTTCACTCTCTTGGGAAGCTCTTCCTCCAAGGTATAAATATCACCACGCTTAACCATTAGTTGAGAACCGTCTTCAAACTCGACCTGCGGAGTAGGCAGAAGATGAAATAAGAACTTGGCCTCGACGCTGACAGCACTCGAACAGTCCGCTCCCAGCCTATGCCGCGGACGGTCCCTTCCCGGGAAGCATCCAGCCCCCGTGGTGATGCCCTGCTCTCGGCACTGCGGGTCTCCAGGATTGCTGTGGAACGAGCATCCCTACGCTGGGTCCCGGATGCCGAACCCCGATTTCAGTGCTGCTGTATTCAGGCAATACGGTAACAAGAATTTCTTTCATCCTGAACAAAGCATTTTCATACATCATAAGGAAACAACTCCAGCTACTAAAACACAGTTGTATTTTAACGAGCAGAAATAAGTCAGGTAGAAAAAACAGTGGGAACTGCTCACATCAAACCTTTTTTGCTAAACGCTGATTATATCATGAATTATGCATCAGACGTTAGAATGTTTATTCAAGGAAACGTGCATATAAAAATGTTAAAACTATTAAAAGTTTTTAAAAGCTTCTCATTTCCTTTGCTCAAGACAGAATACGCTTTGCTGGATAAAGCAGAAGGACGTACACCCCAGCTTAATATGGGATGTCAGGTTCAGAGGGGACAAATTCAGAAGGAAAAAAGCATCTGTGCTCTGAACTCCTCCTGCGCTGCCCGGGTCTTGCAGCTCATCGGTAATTCCAGCTCAGCGATGGTCCCTTCACCCAGCAGCATCCATCAGCCGGAATAACCGGGCAGGTGGGAGAGAGATGAGCTCCAGAAGAAAGGCAGGATTTGTGACTGAGGGCAGGGACATCTTCAACTGCCACAGAGTGCCTGGACCTTGTTTATTTAAGATCCAAATTACTGATCTGGGCTAGACCCATATGAACACACATCAGAGCAAGTTACGAGACAATCACCTGGGCTCAGTTTTAAAAAAAATAAAACGCACATAGAATCTTAGCACATGGAAATACTCAGGGATGTGAAGTGGGAAACTACTGCAAAATAAGTTTAAAATGCAAAAGCTAATCCATGCTGTCCTCCTATGAACACACTTATTTCATAACAAAACTGTTGCTGGAGTTTTAAATATAATCCTATTCCAAAAGGGATGCACCGTAAGGACTGGAAAAGTATCCACGTAGAGAACCAGTGTGGAAAGGTGCTCAGGCTGGTTTCCCCCTGGAGAAGAGCTTTACTCATAGGTAACGGCATGATTGGAAAAACACAGACTCCTCACGCATCTCTCTCTGTCATCTGGCGCTATCAGTGGAATAGCCCATTTCAAATTATTTTACCTTCGAGAAATCAATGACCATTTCCTATCCTGTGATTAAACTGGGAAGCGTGCATAACAATAGATCTTTATGGAACTATATATCGTACTTATTCATAACCAGGGTCACCTCAGATCACATCTTCTCCGGAGCAGTTAACATCCATTACGCACACCAAGAGGATTGTTAACTGACAAGGTGAATTATTGGGCTCCTCGCACACAAATATGGACCTCATGGAACACTCGGTGCAGAAAGGATAGAAACCAGAACCCATTTCAAACAATTGCAAGATACGGGATTTCCTTTGCCTTTTGTGCCAAGGCATTAATCTCTTCAAAATAACAATTATCTGCAAATTTCAGCACATATTTTTCAAAAGGATGTGTGCAAAGTATCCTTTCCAAATCAGAATAATTTTCCACTCTTTGGTACCATTTAAGGATTTAACCAAATGGACGTACTGCATTTTACAAAACCTTCTGTGCTGGAACACTACCACTGTGTACTGGGTCAAATCTTCCTTTACTGACTATTACAACCTTTCACAAACAAAAATCCCATATGTGGGACAGACTCAAAAAAACCTGGCTGCTGTTTTTCTCGCCTTAAAACCAGAGATGGTGAGAGTGTGTGAGGCTGGTGAGACCAGAGACTGAAGGTCTCCAGCTCCCGACGCAGCAGCAGCAGGATGTTATCCCCACATGCCGTTGCTGCTCCACAAAGTACCTTCCCACGACCAGAGGATTATTCCCTCCCTTGAAGCAGTCTCCTGACCCATCATGTCCCTTAGTTCCTCTCAAAGCGTTAAGGAAAGTTGTAATTTCATAGATGCTGACTCACGGGGAACTACAGAGCAGGAGCTCAGCTCCAGGCACGGGACAGCAGCCCAGAGCAGGTCCCTGCTGACCCCAGTCAGACCTGAGCTATAAGGAAAAGGGCAAATTGATTTTATGTTTTAAAAGCAGGTACAGTCTAGACATATGTCTATCCATACATCCACATTCTGGCACAGAAAACCTTCACACCGATCCTGTTTTAATGCTGTGTTTCTCTTTAGACTACCAGCAGAATTCATTTCAGGGAAATTCTCCCTTTGTGCCCAGAGCAAGCATCACGCACCAGTGACCTACCCAATGGGAGCAACAATCAGACGTGGCAAGACGAAGGACGTGGGTACCCTTCCCCACTCACCTGGTAAATCTGACTGATCTGGGCTGCAATAAACTTGGCCTTATAGATGATTCCGTCTGTCCACTGCAGCTGAACCAGCTCGCCCTCGGGCGGGGGTCCCATCTGGATGCAGTCTCTGCTCTGCAGACACACAGTGAGAGAGGTCAGCCAGCCGACACGGACAAAGCTCAGCAGCTAAAAGCTGTGTTAAATACCCCTGCTCAAGGAGTTGCTACCTGACACTATAATTAAGGAAAGTTTCTGCACTTGAGATTAATTGCAGTCATCTCAAACGAAACCATTAACCAGCAAGAGACCAGAAAGAAACAACTTGCATCTCCTGCTGGTGACAGGACTCGGTTCTAGGAAATTTCTCATTACAAACCCCCAACCATCCCATCTCCTCTATCAACCAAACACGAGCGGGGTGACCTGCTCTGTTTCGCATGGTGAATCAATGGCACCATCAGGGAGAGAACGCATGACTTGACAAGTCAGCCTCTTCTGTACCTTCCCTCTATTAAGTAAATTCCCTGTTTTGAACCCAAAGTGCTTACAATCTGCCTCCCCCATGAATCACACTTGTCAGTTGAAAAATAAGAGATTATTCAACCACAAAACAAATAGGAGGCAACTCCAAACAAACATTGCTTTCTGTTAAGTCATCTGCGTATAGCGAAATCGCATCTTTGTAAAGGAACAAAGACATGAAATGAGATCATGTCATAAACAAGAACATCAGCAGCGAAGAGCTGTATGAGTTTTTCTATGCAAGCAACAACTTTACTTTTTAATTTTAATTTTTTTTTTGAAGTTTTACTTCGTTGTTCTATCCCAAAGCGCATAGAAGGGGAACGCAGGCATCACACTTTGTACTCATCTCTAACACTACGAGCCTCCACAGAGAGCTGCTTACAATAATGCTTTCTGGGTAAACGTTGTCACTGTATGAACCGTCATCGAAGTTTACTTCGTAGAAAGTCTGTGTAGTCATGCCAATCACTTTACATCGGTAGTAGAGTCCATTCCGGTTTTTTGTGATCACAGTCTGTCCAAGAGTCACCTCCCTTCGAAAGGGAACCTGTGTCATAGAGAAAAGGGAATCATTTGCCATTTGTAACAATAAAACTGCATCAAAAATAAAGGCACAGAGAAATTCCTACAAAAAAACCCAAACCACCAACCCAACCCTCCGCAAAGCCAAGCACGCACGTTCTGGTTAGCCGCTTTGTGTTTGAAGCAGGTGATGGACACCACGTAGGGCCAGTCATCCGGCTCCATGGGCACGCCGGCCGCGTGCGCGCAGGTCACGTGGAAGGAGGTGGAGCAGTGCTCGTACGAGCACTGGATGCAGGCACCGGACACTTTCTTCATCCGTTTCCGACAGTACACGCATTTCTGAAAAGAAACACAGGTCGGCGTTACGCAGTGAACACGACGTACGGCACCCACCCGTGGTGGGACCGTCTGTACCACCGGAGTCTGGGGCTCAGAAGCCACAGCCAAGAAGTGTGATGTTTTCCTGGGGGAGGGCACAGCAGGCACCCCCCCCCCCCCGTGTTATCAGAGAACTGCTCCAGCTCCATACTCATCCTCCTCAGACACACGAAATGTACCCCTGCTAATCCAGACCGCAGCTGGATTTCACAGGTAGACTGCTAGAAAATCATGGTTTCGTTTCTTGAAAGAAGAGAACACAGAAGAAGTGTGTAGTAATTTGTTCCATTATATTTAATGGCACATTATACCTATTACATCTAATAGAATATAATTCCGTATAATGGAACGAGAACATTGCATGTTCATTTTACACACATAAACATATCAACCGTAAATGTTTTACTGGTGTCCATGTCAGAGTAGCTATTGGAGATAATTCAGCCACTGTTTTGCAAACAAAATAAATACAAACCTTGTACCAGAATTACAGACGGGAAAAAAAGGCATGAAATCCTTCAGTACTTTTTAAATTCATTTTCTGCAAAGCAGATCCAGTTAGCAGGCTAATCTGATCAGGCAGCACTCAGGAGGGACAGGTAATCGTGATTACTTTGAAAAGAAATCTAAATTTTTTCAAAGCTAAAAATCATAAGCCTTATGGCACTGGGGACTTGGCAGCAAGCATTCGCTGCCATGGGAAATGGTCCGCTACTTTGGTCCCCCACTTTTCCTCATTCCTTAACAGCACCAAATACAGAAGACCAAATTTTGGGAATCCCAATCTAAAGAAATTTAAGTTGGACAGTTGCATCATGTCTCCAGGGAACTAAACCCCATTCTCAGCTTTTCACATTTTAAGTTGAGGTCTCACTGATTGATCACTCACATCACCTGAGGCTTGGACAAGGCAAATCAGGGAAAAATGAACCTCACACACGTGGGATGAACACGCATTTTACCTGTTAGAATGAGCGGCTCATGCAAACAAAATCCTGAGAAATGTTACACGCCCATGGATCTGACTGTACAGCCCCTGCCCCCCAGGTCTGACCCCTGCCTCCCCCCC